TGCTGGTTTTAAAATTTTGTCATGAAGATGAAGAACTAACAACACCTCTTCAAGTGTAGGATCTGTTACCAACATACTAACCTCACAATCAGTAATAAAACGAAGCCCATCCTTGATCTCTTGGTGTGAAACCATTGGAACTGGTTTTGGATCTAACAAAAACAACCTTTCAGAAGTAATAGCAGTAGGATCTCTAAGATCAAAAACAATCACGAAATCAAATACACCCCAAACAATAGCATATAATTTGCAACCACCAATAATCACAAAATCATGAATAATTATCGATCGAGACTCAGGTGTTTCAATGTCAGTCCACGACTTGTCATTTAATTTGCAGAATGCTAATTGCTGTTTCAATTGATCTCTAATCCAAAACACAAATAAAACTACTGTAACAAACTTTGGAGAACCAGGTGTGGAATAGAACTTTGTTTCTGTTCTAACTCTTTTGCCAAAACTCAGTGGAAACATCGGAAGTTTATGTTTTTCCCCGGACACTGGATTAAAGAACACAAGTAAACAAACAGTTCGTCTGAGATCAGAATTAAATTTATATTTTCGAAACACCAACCATCCTTCCACTGACCCAACATCGTCCAAGCTCCCCTTCCAAGTTTCAGTAGAGATGGTGTAAAGGGTGTCTTGAGAAAGATCCAAAAGGTTTGGAGGGTTAGCAATGGTGCGAAGAGGAGGGAGCATAAACAAAAATGGAAATTGAGGTGCAGGAGGGCATCTTCGCTTAATTGCAAGAGCATCATCAACAACATTTCGCCAATATCTGCATACTAGTCGGCATCTGAGGTAATCTCTGAGGATTAACTTTTGTAAGATAAGTTCCAACCAGTCCTGTCGAACGAAAAATTCTTCCCCGCTTCCTTTATCTGCGTGATCACTATTGTGCATGGTGTTTCAAAGATTAGGTGAAAATAATGAGGTAATCTGTAAATAAAATAAATTCCAGCAATTCCTGTTCTGCATCGTGACCTGCTAAATTGTGTTTCAAAGATTAGGCAAAAAAAAAAAAAAAAAAACAACTAGGGTTGGAACTTTAAAATCGTGAACACTCTATTTTATTTTATTTTAATTTTTTAAAGAAAAAAATTAACAGTTTTTATTTTATTTTATTTTAAACTGTTATTTTATCTTATTATTTTAATTTAATTTTTAAATTATTTTTTACAACACGTTTTCACAGTTAAAATTAGTATGATTTTTTTCAAAAAAATTTCACACCATTTGTAACCACTTTCAAAATATATTGATAATGCTTCAAATAAGTTGTTACAAACAAAAGAAGAATGATAATACTTTATTTTATTTTTTAAAGAAAATTAACAGTTTTTTATTTTATTTTAAACTGTTATTTTATCTTATTAATTTAATTTTTTATAACACGTTTTCACAGTTAAAATTAGTTTGATTTTTTTAAAATTTTTTTTACACCATTAAATTCTTGTAACAACTTTTAAAATAAATTCTAATAATGCTTTAAATAAGTTGTTACAAACAAAAAAAGAATGATAATACTTTATTTTATTTAGTTTATTTTGATATTATTTTATTCTATTCTATATCACTAGTTTTTATCTATTTAATTTTCATTCAAATAAATTAGACTATGTTTTGTTGTGCTCTAATTTGATTTAACATGTACATTTACTTCTATAATTGTTACACATGTACTTATTATTATTTTATTTAAAGAGCGTTCTTTATTTTAAAGAGCATTTCTTTCTTAACTGCTACCTAATATATGACTTTAGACCACATTTTTTGTTAAACACTATTTAATGTATGACTTTAGAGAACAGTTAATAAAAAACTGTTTTTAGAAGTATAGATTTGAGAGCGGTTCAAGACTAACTCTCTAAAGTATATTTTAAAGAGCAGTTAAAAGAGAAACACTTTCAAAACCAAGTTCTCCCATCGATGCTCAATCTTGCAAGCTTAATCTTGTTGGGATCCAAAATTCCTTGAACCTCACAATAGGTTTCAGCCCTGTAATCCATCCTTTTGGGTCTATTCCATTGAACAAAGGTAGCTCTACATTCTTTGCCATCAAACGGAACTCATCCAACGCGTCTGCACTTGTGTTATGCGATAATTCGGCCTCCAATTCTCCCATTCATTGTCGTCATAAAATCTTCTAAGCTTTCCTCTAGAGAATTCATACGTTCATCATTGTGAGGATGTGTTCACTCCGCGCTTCATCATTTGTGGTTTACTGATCTGCAATCCACAGTTTCTTTTTCGGTGAATGATCCGACAGGTCAAACCAATGATAAAATTTATTGGAAAAAAAGAAGAAAAATTGGAATCTTTTATTCAAGAATGAAAATCTTGGGTACAACGAGTATCTCATAGCAAGCTCTTTAGAGAATCATCTCTACTAATGGTTCTAACTAATTTTCATAACTGCTCTTAACTAATTCCCTTCTCCTATATATAGCGAAGGTGAATAATGGAAAATAACAAAATAAGAGTCATATAAAAAAAATAAAAGAATAAGGAATCATACTCCACTAACTACTAACTAGATTGCTATGCATGGTTTAGCTTTAATTGCAAGAACATTATTTACAACAATATTCGAATTAGGACTAGAATTCACTTAGACTCTGAGTCCTAACAAAACCTATCTCTACAAATCTACAATAAACTAACCTAGTTCCTCGGGTGTGCAAAAAATCTAAATTTAATGATCCAATCTATAACCAAAATAAATTAGATTTAAAAATATGAATTTTTTTAAAATTAGATATTCAGCTTTTTTTTTTTTCAGGTTAAGATAAATGTTGGATTTCATTTAATAAAACCTTCATGCCTTAGTGGTACCTTCAGTGCCCCTTCACGAATTAGTTCAGTAAAGTTACGATTTTTATTTTGTTAAATTGCTGCTCTGGAATCTAATGTTTTCTCCTTTTCTCTATTTGTATTACTTTTATATATATATATATATATATATATATATATATTTGTATATTAATAAATTTGTTATCTTATAATGATATTTTTAAAATATTAATTTATAATAATATTATATAATGTTAATTTATATTAAATAAATTAAAAGTATATATTTATAAATCTTGCTATGTTTAAAAAAATATATTATTGAAATTAGTTTTAAACTATATCTAAATTTTAAAACCAGTTTTAATCTATTTTTAAAAAGGTAATATAGGTTGGTTTAAAATCCAATCTATATAATTAGATTTAAAATAGATTTAGATTGGATTTAAGCAAATCTAATCCATGTTCACTCCTACTAGCTCCAACATGGTCAACCAACCATTATATGCATTCTTCAGTAATTTTGAACCATGTATTTTTGTGAATCTGTCCATCAATTTTGAACTTATTACGCTCAATTTGTGTACTGAGCTATTAACCTATCTCATGATATTTTAATTTGTTCATCAATTTTCAATCATTATGCTTTATTTGTGTATTAAGCTATGAACCTACCTTGGTTTGGTTATCTGAAGAATTTTTTAGATAACTTTTAAATGAGCCAAATTGAAAGCCGTGTGATTGTTCCATCTATAATGAAAACTCATTAAATAGAACCAAAATTCTGGGCCTGTTTGGAAGAACACGAAAAGCATGAAAACGTGCAAGGAATAGAGGCAAAGGCTTTCTTCTAGGTTGATATCATCCCTTCATACAAGGAAGAATGAAGAAAATATAATGGACCTTCAAAGACCAGTAGCACAAGTGATGATTGGTGGTGTATGATGTCAATATACCTATAAGTGTCTTTGCAGTTTGTCCGGATATAGTACCAGAACTGAGCAAAGCTCCTTGAGGTGTTGTGGTTGTATAATGTCAGCTAAAAGAGAGCTTCAACAATAATTAAGTCAGAAACTAGGTATAATAAATTTGTCTTCATTTCTTGTATATAAGCAACACTACCTGTAAATAAATTTTGAAGGACCTAATGTTGCAGTTCCAACACGAGCGCCTGGGGCAGGTGACAAGGATGAGGAGGGTGCAACTGGACCTGGTGAACATTCAAAATTACTTCATGATGATATTGTAAAAAATTTGTGTAATAAAACATGTCCATTAATCATGATAGCATTCACTGTATATTGCAGCTAACAAATATTAATGACATAAGTCATGGTATTGAAACAGAAGTTTTAACCTCAGATTTAATCGTTTCTATTCCTTCAAATTTAAAATAAAGTTGACAAAATTAGAGGGAGCCAAGTGCAATTTTGTAAAGCTTTAATTCAAGTTTAAATTCATCCTTTAAACAAAATGATAATGTTATAAATCCCTAATGAGAACATAGTTAAGCGACTAAAAATTGCTATGTCAACTGGCCTAACAGTTCTCTGGTTCTCTGATTAATCAATCACCTATTTAAAGTAAACCCCTGTACTTGTATGAACTGTGCTACAAGCAAATTTACCTGTTGTCCCAACTTGCTAATGGATGGATCCTTGGCTGTTGGCAAAAAGAAGAGTTCCTGACCTTTTCTTTTCTTTGATACTGGAGGTGATGAGTAGCCAGAGGAACCAATAGCTCAGTTATGGCAGCATTTGCCGCTTGCTGAATATATGCCATCATGTTATTTTGGTCTCCATGAAACAAAGCCTGCCTCTCTTCGCTTCCCTCAAAATTCTTAACCAAAAGGATAAGGCTGTGCATGCTAGAGAAGATCTTAACCTTTGAAACTGCTTGGTTTGATGATGAACAAAATTCCTGTGGAGCATTATGCTCAAGGTTGAGCAATGAGGCTTCCATGGTTAAGAGGCTTGGAAACTTGCTCTTATTATGATAGCTGTGCAACCACTTACAATCCTTTGCTCCAAGTTTGTTAAGGCACAGAATGAAGTACACAAATTGCAGAGGCAGTTTATAATCATAGAATTGTAACTTCATTTGGAAGCATCACAAAAGTTCTAGGACTTCTAGGACTATTTGATGAGGCTCAAGAGGCTCTAAGGAAGGAAGCAAGGAAGAAGTCTTGGCTAGCTGGCATAGGAATGGGTTCTGCTCAATGCTTAACATTCTTGTCATGGGCTTTGGATTTTTGGTATGGTGGTACTTGGCTGAAAGGAGACAAATATCAGGGTGTGTTCAAAACATTTTTTGTATTGGATAGCTGAGGCTGGAAGCATGACTTCTGACTTTGCCAAGAGTGCAACAGCAGTGGCATCTGTATTTGAAATTCTTGACCGAAAATCACTAATTCCAAGGTAGCATCTGTGTTTGAAATTCTTGACCGAAAATCACTAATTCCCAAGGTATGTATGCAGCTCTTGCAATTGTGCATGAACGCATGTCATCATAATTTAGTAAGGTTTAATTCTGTATACCCATTGTTTTCCAAGGTATGTATGCAGCTCTCTTGTAATTGTGCATGAACGCATGTAATCATAATTTAGTAAGGTTGTATACCCATTTTGTTTTCATGGCACTTGTGTCCTCTTTATGCCTTATGCATTTAAGTATTTCTATCTCTAGCATTTACAATGTGTGTTGCATTTGCGATTATACAAATGAGTTGTGGAGAATGGAGATTATGCTTGTGTTGTGAATATTCTTGGTATATCCTTGTTGTGATGTAAAACTAATATAATTTTAGTGCTGATTTTAAAACGAGGTAAGCTAATGGTGCAATGCTTTTATTTTTGTGTCCTGAAGCTGACAAACCAGCCGGCTTGCAATGGTTTCCGTGACAACAACACAGATGATATGGCTAGAGATCAGCTTTGCTGAGTTTGTGTATATGATGCAACATTACATTACGCTTCCCCGAAAAACCAGCATGACTAAATTCTTTTTTTTTCTTGATTACATGTAAATAAATGACTTGAATGAAAAATAGAAGTCTCTTATTTTCCATCTAGTACTTCTTTCTTTTCAACCAGAGAAGTGGCTACATAATCTTTCTCACTCTTTCAATAATGAAAGAAATTTTTTTACTGATTCGTTTCTAACCTAATAGAAAAGTAAGCACACTACAAGAAATTACATATTTTGCGATCATAATATTTGTCATTAAACACTTTAAAAGTCGTCATTAAAGTAATTTTGTGACAATATTTAAATTCGTCATCTATCGTTACATAGTTAAGTCACTATTATATTTATAACGATATTATATAGTCACTAAAATAAAATATTTATTATAACAAAAATTAACGTCACTGTAAGATAATTCGTCGTTAATATTAGTCACTATTATTTTAAAATTAATAACTAATGTATTCATCATTATTAGGAATTATTTTAAATAATATTTTTATAACCAATTTTTTTTTAAAATTAATATTTAATTAATAATTACTTTAAATTAAAAATTTATATATTATTACTCAAATTTATATTAATAATGATTTTAATTATTATTCTTTAAAATTAATGTTGTTATGATATCAAAGTGATTATATTATAATAATTGTATTTTTAAATAAAATAAATATAAATTAAAATCATAAATTATAAATTATGAAGACATAAATTGAATCATAAATTTAAATATAATAAATATCTAATAAAAGTTTACACATGAAAATTATAAATGAAATTAAAATACATCATCAACGTATTAAAATTCTAAAATAAAAAAAGACTAATATTAAATTAAACAAATAAAATAGAATGAAAGATGCTCTCATAGATTATGATCCTACACATAAGAAAAAATAAAATAAAATAAAATAAATAAATGTAAATTAATCAATTAATAAATTTTTAAGAATGTAATCATATAATAGTTAAGTAATAAAAATTAAAATAATTAATAAACTTACCGTTGGAGCATGTGAATTATTAAATAACTTGTTAAATGATAATTTTCCTAATAAAATAGTCCATTGACGTTTCATCTCCATTTCAAGATCTTACTTCATTTATTTTTGTTGAGATTTAAAAGTTAATCTTTAAGTATCAATCAATTCACGTTGAGATTGCAATAGGTTAAGAACTGTTTTGATGACTATGTGTAATTTCGTGTAACACTAACTATTACTTTTTTGAGAGGATTAAGTGACATATTAATAGAAATCAGCCTTTGGAAAATAAGGTGCACATTTCATTTGTTTTTGGCTTTTTATTTTCAGCTGGTATGTTTTCAATTCACCATATTGCTTTGATTATGTTCCCTATATCATATCATAACAACCTTTCTCTAACACAAAATATGAAGGATGCAAAACAGTAGTTAGTATAATACATAACAAATAAAGAAATAGAATTGCCTCAGTATCTGGATGGTTTAACCTAAGACTCTTACAAGCATATTCATTCAAATCCACTAAGAACAAAATAAATTGAAAGGATTACTTTACTACAAAGAATCAAATAACTCACAGAATAAAGATTCACGCCGGCTAAAACTCCACCTAGACACAAATAAGCATTCACAGTTTAAGCTTAAGTTCATGAGGTGCTTTTTTTCTTTATTAAAAATAAGCATTCTGAAGGTAAAAAAAAAAAAAAAAAAAATCTGTTTTGGGCTTTTTTAAAGTCAAGAACAAGAGCATAGTTTGGGCGTGAGAGAGATTGTCAAATGAAACTTTTTAATGGGCCGCAGCGGAGAAACCCCATCTCTTTTTCAGTTCAGAGCCAGCAGTTCCATAATCAGATAAAGTTACCCCTTTGGGCTCCCCTTCCCTATGGGAATTATCCTTTTATGAATTTTCTTTCTGTCTATATATATATATATATATATATATATATATATACTTACAACTTCATTGTTGAAGCATTGATGTGCAACACTATTAATTTTTTTTGAAATTTTCAATGTAAAGATTATGTGGAAATATGAAAGGAGAAGATCTTTTTTTTCTTCTAGAACTTTATCAAGGTTTTTTTAATGAGAAAAGAACGAGTTTAGGTTTGATTTTAGCTTTGATATATATTTTAGTTTTCAAGATTGATAAAGTGTATTTAAGTTTGAACATGTGTGCTTCTATGGATTAGTGTTCATACTTTTGTATGTGTTGTTGGACTTTTTAATCTACAATCATCTGAAAAAAAAAAAGAAACCTTCTAATGTCCCCTAATAATAGACTTAAGGAAATGCAAAAGGTATGGATAGGAAAATTGAAATTCATTTAGAAAAAAAAAGGAAAAGAGAATTTGGAATATAAAAGAGCAAATTGATATGTGGTAGTTTGGTGGATAAATTTATTATATTGATTTGTTGATGACTAGCAATCTCATGCTAATATTAATTCCATGATGGAGGTGGGCATTAGTATGCATTTAGTGTTTTAAGCTTGATGCTTTATTAATGTCATTGTTAGTTCCACCACTAATGATATCCTTACTTTCCACTTTGCTATTGGCTAATTTTGACGATGAGAAATCCTTCAATTTGATACATCACTAAAAGCCACTTTATATAATCTTCAATTTATGATTATAAGCATGAAATTTATTATATGAGTGAAGATATGAATATTTCTGGGACCGTGGCTTTTGGTAACAAAAATTCCTTTGTGTGTGTTTATGAAGTTCAAGTAGGGACTTAATTAGTAGTACAAGATTTGGATGGTGGGTGTATTCTTTAGCAAAAAGTGAGTCCAACTATTAACATTGATTTCTACACAAAAACTCCATCATGAATGATTGGTGAGGGCCCTCTTTGTAGCCAATCTAAGCCTTAAACTTTATAGTAAAGTGAGACTTTCATAGCATAAGCTTGCTTGAGGAATATTTTTTGAGTCCAACTACTAATTACGTGTTAATGATTTTTTCTTAAAACACAAGTGTACTAAGTCTATTGCAAATAATAATAAGTAAAGTATCAAGATATCGTTCTCAGATAACAATTCAAAATATGTTAATTGTCAAGATAAAAATTAATTAAGTTTATATACAATAAAATTGATTGATGATTTTTATAAAATTTGAGTGACAATTATAATATAAAATAATATTATAAAATTTAGTAAAATTTAAATTAAAGAAAATCAGATTGAATTTCATCTATTCCCTCTTTATATTCAGTAATTCGGTGATAAATATAGTCATTATTTCTAATGATATTGATGTAAAATACATAAGTCATATATCTCAATTCCTTGAAAATATATTTCTAAGATAATTTTTTAAATGTTGATCCCTCAAATAGTTAACAAACTATCTAGCACTATAATCATGATTTAAAACAATCAATAACTTAAAATCTATTCCTAGAGTAATCAGTTATTGAGTAATCTCAATCAAATCTAGATCTAAGTAGTATCTTTCTAAATATAACTCAGATCTGAGCTCTAAAAACTATCTGTTACACAACTTTAAACATTAAACATGGATTGAAATCACCAAATCAATAGAAATGAAAAAGAAACATCTATATTTATATAAATTATTGAGAATACATCAAATTTGAAGATTTACATTCAATCCCACAAAATATTTAGCTACTCATTGTAACCATAGTAACAAGAAATAGGAAACCACGGTGTAAAACATAAAAAAATGAGTATTTCTACTCTTTCTCTCAGCCCTCCGCTGCTCTCTCTCTTTTTGAAAAATGAAGATAAAATAGTAACCTCTTCAATCGCACAAAAGTCGCATTTTATACCATTCTAGATGAAGTTTCTTTCACTACAACAACAGTCTTTTACTGTAGTGAGGCATGAAGGCAAAATTAAGTCATTCTGCTAGCCTCTCACTATAGCGAGAGTATCTCGCTATAGTGAGAAATCTCCAGAAGCTAACTTTTCTGCAACTCTATACTTTTTATGCCTTTTGCTTAATTTTTTAAATTTCTTTAACTCTGGATGATATAAAATATATCAAAAAGAAATCAAAACACTTACATTTGCATTCTTCTCTTTAAATATACAAGTAATTATAAAAGTTTTAAGTTTAGAAAAAATCTAATAAAAAATCCAAACATTTAACATAAAAGGTGTTTAAGTCATAATCTAAAATTACCTAATTTATACATTTATCAGTACGAGGGTCCGTGAGACATTTTATTTAAAACAAATATTTATTTTAATTTTTTTAGTTCAAAATGATAATGATCAATAAAATGATAAATAATCATAATGAATGCTATTGTGCTAAAATTATAAACTAATAATATTTGTTAAGATTATACACAATTATTTGAAATCTAGTTTATATAAAAATTAAAGTTGATTTTATGAAGTATGTCAAGATTTAATATTTAAAATTTAAAGGCTTAATTT